TAATTGATTGACAATATAATTGATTGACTGGATGATTGATTGACATGATTGATGATTGATTGACATGATTGATAATTGATTGATCTGTTAGTTGATTGATTTAAGTGTCGGTCGATTGATCGATTTGATGGTTAACTGATTATGGTTGATTGATTTGATGATAGTCTCGTATACTTTTTATTCATAGTTTGTATGTTTAATTTGATGATTGATTGATTGATTGATTGATTGATTGATTGATTGATTGAGTTGGTTGATTGAGTTGGTTGAGTTGGTTGATTGATTGATTGATTGATTGATTGATTGCTCAGGTTGTAGAGGATGGTTACGAGTTCTTTGCTAAACGTCAACTTGTAACACTATTCTCTGCTCCAAACTATTGTGGAGAGTTCGATAACGCAGGTAAGTTCTTTCTCACATCCTTTCATAAAATATTTGTTTCCTTATTTATTCATCGCCGAAATCGACGAGTTAAAATTTAAACACAGGGTTAAAATCTTGAAATCCTGCATTTTCCCTATTTGTCTATTATTCAATCATCATACAGCTGAGAAAGCGGTATTCAACTTTATGATATATTTAAAAGTGAAAACCTTGTTAAAGAAATTTCACGTTTTAGATAAATTTATTTTTGCATGTAAACCCAAAAAACGGTTGTAACTCGTAATATGTTTTGTTTTCGGTTACGTAATAACAGCTGATTAGCGATGGTTATGTAATATTCTCCGTAAATCCTTTTCTCTGATTGGTTCAGATTTTAGGAAAAATTCAAATTTAAAAATTGAGAAATTTTATTATTTAAGTAGCTATTCATTATTTTACAGAACTTTTAACCTCGAACTTAAAATTCGCGCATTCTTTAGTTTCAGACTCTGTTATACTATTTTTTTATAATTTTTTTTTAAATATCGAAGTACTTTTATGTGTTATTTGTATCTTTCAGATTAAACTAAAATATTTCAAAAATGCGAGGAAAAAGAGTATATTGAACACTGGGTCGGAATATATGAAGATTTGTTTAAATCTGTCTTGATTCCAGCAAGTACTCCCCCCCCCCTCCCATTTGAGGAATTTCAAAGATATGTAATGTCTCATCTAAATACCTTCAACACATTTGTATAAATCTGACAACTCGGACTAAATTCTAAATATTTCACAAATTTATATTTCATGGAGGATAAGTTTTATGATTGATGACAAGTCATGAACCCTGGGACAGAAATATTTAATTCATTTTTAATTTGTTAAAAATTAAATTGAAATCTGATTCCATATTTCCTTTTTTATAAAGAAATGTTAAGTGATCCTCCGTTGAAAGAATGGAATGATTCACAACACAACTTTATCTGGAAAAACAATAAGAAAAATAATATCATCGCTTTTCTGTCGTTTTTAGCATAAATCCGCACTTCACCTTATAATAGAAAAGGAAAATAATAAGGAAATAATAGGGATATCTCATTCAACCTTGATCGAGCAGACAAAAGTTGAAAGGGTCAGCTGTAAATCAAATATATATATACACTACAGTAAAAATATATTTCAAAACGACATAAATAAGAATTTGAACACTTGCAATCTGATGCAGTAAACCTTTGATAAACTTTATACTTTGCTAAAAGTTTGACAAATCAAACAAGCTGTAAAAATGATGATTGGAGAATTAGAGTTTGTGGTGAGTATGCAGTTCTTTTGTCTAGGGAATAATTTCGAATTTTAAAACTAGATTTAGACTATTTTAAGTATATTTAACAACAGAAATATAATCTTTGTCATTTCTTTTAGTTTCACACTGCTTACTTAAAGATTGAATGTGGGAAAAGCAAGGCTAAAGCATCTGCTAAGGAAGCAAATTCTTAATCATCACCCCCTCCCATCTTTCCCAGCCCTATACCTGGGCCGACAAAAATTTGTCCTCTCCCATTTTNTTGGAGGGATCCAGGGATACTGCAAGGTTGGATTGGAGGGATCCAGTGATATTACTCGGTTGGATTGGAGGGATCCAGGGATACTGCAAGGTTGGATTGGAGGGATCCAGTGATATTACTCGGTTGGATTGGAGGGATCCAGTGATACTACAAGGTTGGATTGGATGGATCCAGTGATACTACAAGGTAGGATTGGAGGGATCCAGGGATACTGCAAGGTTGGATTGGAGGGATCCAGTGATATTACTCGGTTGGATTGGAGGGATCCAGGGATACTGCAAGGTTGGATTGGAGGGATCCAGTGATATTACTCGGTTGGATTAGAGGGATCCAGTGATACTACAAGGTTGGATTGGATGGATCCAGAGATACAACACGGTTGGATTGGAGGGATCCAGTCATATTACAAGGCTGGAGGGATCCAATGTTTTTATAAGGTTGAAGGGATCCTATGATATTATAAGGTCGGAGGGATCTTTCTTTTTCTCTATCTTCTAACCTATCCATCTATTTTCCTTAATTCTATTATCTATCTATCTATCTATTTATCTGTATCTCTATCTATCTATATATCTACAAGTTTGTATCCATATAATCATTTTAAACCCACCGCTGTGATATAAATGGTTTTGTTTATGAAGCTATCATGATATCTATCTAAAATCTACAAATCTATTTAGAGATCTATCTATCTATCTGTGTAACCATCTATCTACCTATCTGTCTACAAATGTTTCCAACTTCTTTTAATAAACATATCAAAGGTTTAGATTCAATCATGATTACGTGCAGTTGATGTGAACTTACTTCCCGTATTTAGCTGATAAAAAAAATAAAAGTGAATTAAGTAGTAATCTCTGTTTGTCTGTTTGTATTTCCGATCATAACTCATAAACCCCTAGATTGATTTGCCTCAAAATTCTTAACTGAGTGTGTCGACTTTTGTAGTGAAAAAAATATCCGTATCGGCCAATTAAAAGTGTTGAGCTGCTCTACCTTTTTTTGATTGTTTTTATGTTCTTTTCTTTAAACTTCAGATTCAATTGCAAACGTCAATATTCACCTTTGATATTTAATCAAATTGATGTTAGGCTCTACCTTTAAAAATAATTTAATGGTTGTAACCAAAGAAACAAAATATGGCGACTGAAAGTTATGCTTGTTAACAGACTGCTAGTAAAGTTGCATCAATTTTCAAGACTGGGTCTACTTTCAAGTGTCACAACTCCCTGGCCAGGCCTTCGATGTAACCGTATTAATACTTTTACACTTTAGAACTGCAGGACACTTCTAATTGGTAAACTTCACATAAATGTCTGCGTGAGAGATTGAAAACCTTTGAATTAGATAGGCAAAGTTCCGCTTACATTGGTACTTACATGGTTGACAATTTATAAATGCAGTGGTCCAGTGGATTTAGATCAATTATGCATAATACAAAGATAAAATCCTTTACAGTCCTTGCGTACATGCGTATTTAGATCTGAATCCTAATGATGTGAGGTCTGATGGTTAATATCCTCTGATCTACAGAATTATATTCAGGGTGTCCCAATAAACATGGGAATTAAGAGAGACGAATTCGAAATCGTCTTTGTTAAGAATTTGTTTTGTTTTGTTTTTCTGCAAAACATTGTATGATGTGTCTGTATAATTTTGGAAGAAACGTAGTTAAGAGGAACAACTGTAATGTGTTTGTAAACATGAATTTCTAATTTTACAGAGTACAGCAGAAGGGAATCAAAATATTTAACAAAAAATTCTTATCTCTAGCAAACGAAACTCATCTATGGATTACAGCTCTCCTAGTAAGCAAAAAATGATTTACAAATTCCCATGCTTTTTGGGACACCCTGTATATATATATATATATACAGGGTGATTAATCGTATTAGTTGGAAATCAAGATTCAGAAATCAACCCCATACAGTGCTAACCATACCTCGGGGATATTATACACTTCAGTGCACAGGCACAGAAGAAAGATATGTACAGATATCAGTGTGAATGTACAGCGAACAGTATTAATGCATACTGTGGTTAAGTACAAAACTTTGCTAACAACATAACAGTATTAATACGTTGGGAATCAGAAAAGTGTGGAATAGGAAGATGTACATTACTGCAAAAATAAAGTGTATTTGATGTTGTTACAAAGCAACTAGTAACTTATTAAATCGCGTTTTACGTGAAATTGGTCTGTTTAAACTGCACAATTGCCGTTCTCATGGTCATTGGACAATATCTAGAGTCAAAACTAGAGACAAGAAGCCGTCCTCCTATTCCTATCTCGCTGTGCGTATTTTTTCGTTTTTCAATATTTCCCTTTGCTCCTATATTTTCCAAAAATTTACGAAATTTGTGAAATATTTTCTCTAAAAATTTCCTATATTTTGCATAAATTATCTCTTTTCGATAAATCTTTGGTTCGCATAAATATCTTAACTGAAAGGAAACATGTGAAATTAACAAAAGAAATTATATTCAGAATAAAGTTCTTTGAAGCTAAATTTATGGCTTTATTTCACAAATTAAAATTAAGTTATCTCTGAATGTAGTTTGTCTATCTTTCTATCTATCTATCTGTCTATCTGTCTATCTGTCTATCTATCTATCTGTCTATCTGTCTATCTGTCTATCTGTCTATCTGTTAGAACGGGATTAGAGAACATGAAAAAAGATAAGTTGAATAAGGACTGGAAAAAGTGGAACTATAAAAAGACGAAATATAAAAAGAGGAAATATAAAAAGACGAAATATAAAAAGAGGAAATATAAAAAGAACCCATAATTAAAGAAAATAGAAAAATACAGAAATTAAGTTAAAGAGAAGAAAAAGAGGAATATAAATCAAGGGGAATGAAAATAAAACTAAAGAAGAAGAAAAGGGGATAGGAAAGAGGAAAGGGAATGAGAAGAAGAAAAGGGAAGAAGGGAAAGGGGAAGAGAAGAATATAAGAAGGAAAGGGAAAAGGGAAGGGGACATGAATGGGGAAGAGGAGAATATAAGAAGGGAAAGGAAAGAGGAAACAAGGAAAGGGGGATAGGAGAATTAAGGAAAGGGGGAGAAGAGAAGTGGCGAATATAAGAAGAGGTAGGGAAGAAGAAAGGGGGGAGGAGAAGAGGAAAGATGGAGAGGAGAAAAGGAGAATATAAGAAGGGGAAGGGAAGAAGAAAAGGGGATAGGAGAAAAGGAAAGGGGTAGAGGAGAAAAGGAGAATATGAGAAGAGGTAGGGAAGAAGAAAGGGGGAGAGGAGAAGAGGAAAAGAGAGAAGGAGGAGAAGAATTCCACTAATGAATTGAACCGGTTCATTCCGTCACAGTTCGCATCAAACTCCTCATACTCAACACATTGACAGATAGATAGTCAGGTGGACAGATAGATAGACAGGTTTACAGACAGACATTAAGGTTGACAGACGAACATTAAGGTTGACAGACGACATTAAGTTTGACAGACAATCCGATAGTCAGGATGTTATTAAGATAAGAATGAAGATGAAAGAAGAGAGACATATTTAATATTTTATTTAATTGAATATTTTTATCTTCTAAACCCCGAATCCTTTAATCCATGAGTCCTTATCTTCTACAGTCTACACACAAAACATTGTTATTGCTATCAGACATTTTTAACTTTCTAGCTAGCAATCTATCTAATTAACATTTCCTTCATAGCTAACTGTTAGTTATCACTTTCTAGCTAGCTAACTAACATTTTCATTTAGCTAGCTACAGGCCCGTGTCAGGGCGTTTTTGTAGAGGGGGGGGGGGCGCACCAAGTGAAACCAAGTTAACGAGGTTGGGGATCGCAGAGGAGCAGAGCCCCCCTGCATTAAAAAATTTGATTTTTCTGTCTGAAAAACTAACTATTTTACCTTAAAGCCAACTAGCTAGGGGTTTCTTTCCAGCTTCCTCGCTAACTTTTTCTTTATAACTAATCAGCTATTTTTTATTTTGATGCTAACTAGCCAACATTGCTTTCCTAGCTAGCTAACTTATATATTATGCAAGCTAACTTTTCAAATCTAAGTATAGAATCATAGATTATTGTTAAAACCACAATTCCCTTTGTGCTTCCTGACCACAATGTTTAGCAACCAACTTTTTGATGATAAAAATGATAAAAACAACAATTAACTTTAAATGCAAATTAACATCATGAACTTTAAAAATGAGAATAGTAGAACAAAGCCAAATCCGAGAAATGCTAAATAAGAACAAGAACTGTAAGACAAAAATATCAGATTTGTTTTACATCTGTATTGGAATTTCCGTATTTTTGAAGAAAAAAATGTAGTATGAAAAAATTGTAATTTTTTAAATTTAATTACAAATCTTTGCCTTTCCACATATTCATGGTCATATTTCGTTTTTAAACTATAATTTCTTTTTACAATTAATTTTTGAATACATTTTTTTAAACAAAATTTTAAAAAGAGCAATAATTTTTTTCTCTGACTTTTATTAACTTCTTTTTAGATGCACTGCAGTTTTCAGTTTGCTTGGAATGTCTGACTCAACTAATTGAAGGTTCAGGTTCAACCATAAATTCATCGTCCAATATTCTTACAAGTTGCGGGGAAAAAAATTCACTGCACTAAGCGGGGTTTGAAATTTCTGAGGATTTTCATTGTCAGAATTCCGCCTTTATAATGACAAATGGGATAGGAAAGGTTAGGCTAGGAGTGGATATTTTCGACAAAAGAATTTTGGTTCCTGTAAGTTAATCTCGGACACATTGCTTCAGAATATGGCCTCGTCTACATCAATATTTTCCTTTCAGCCGGCAGAGTAGCAACTGGTATCGTAGTGCATGGTGCACACCCATCAGTATTCTAATCCAAGGTTTACAGAGTTCCCGTCTCTATCCAAGGTTTACAGAGGTCCCGTCTCTATCAGGGTTTACAGAGTTCCCGTCTCTATCCAAGGTTTACAGAGTTCCCGTCTCTATCCAGGGTTTACAGAGTTCCTTTCTCTATCCAAGGTTTACAGAGTTCCCGTCGTCTCTATCCAAGGTTTGCAGAGTTCCTTTCTCTATCCAGGGTTTACAGAGTTCCTTTCTCTATTCCGGGTTTACAGAGTTCCCGTCTCTATCCAGGGTTTGCAGAGTTCCCGTCTCTATCCAGGGTTTACAGAGTTCCCGTCTCTATCCAGGGTTTACAGAGTTCCCGTCTCTATCTAGGGTTTACAGAGTTCCCGTCTCTATCCAGGGTTTACAGAGTTCCCGTCTCTATCCAGAGTTTACAGAGTTCCCGTCTCAATATTTTCAAGAGGGAGGGGAAGAGAAGTGTAGAGAAACCCCCCTTCTCTGCACTATTATTTTCTTTTTTCCAAGTAGGGTGTACTGCCATGTTATTCCACAGGGTTGTACTCAGCCACAAGAAAATGGAGAGAGTATACGAACCTGACTGTTCTGAGTTCCCTTGATGCTTTAAACTGTAAGTAAATTGCAATGTACTTATTGTTTTAAACTTTAATAGATAAAAATGCCAAGATCATAATTAATAACACATATATTTTTGATAGACTATAATAATACTGGTATATTATGCTTTTAAGGTTCACAACGAACAAAGTTTAAAATATCACTTCAAGTCTCTTCCAATCCTTTTATTTAATTTTCAACTTTTTGTACTTTTGGTTGAACACAAGCTTGCAGAAGAGATGGTGTCAGTTTTCTGTCCTGACATTTTGCTTTCAAGTTTTCTTAATTTGTTGTAGTACTTCCGCTTTGCTTGTTCCAGTGCAGTTGTTAGTAAACTAAAAATAAAATAAAAATTACACTTTTTGGATTTTAAAAAAATTTGGATTTATATTTATTTTGGATTAGAAGAAGTAATTTGCTTTTTGATTTTTACCTGTTTGCTCTTTTGAGGTCTTCTATCAGGCCAAGGGACTGTTTCTGCCTTAGTTCAGAAGTTTTATTAACCTTCTCAAGGGTTTTAAGAAGATTCTGAACTCTGTCCTGTAACACGGACTCTCTCTCTTCTGTAAACTCACCTAGACAAATATCAAATAAAAAAATTTTAAACTTAATGAAGGGGAGGTTTTTAACTGAAGTCTTTATCTATTTAAGGATTATTAGACTCCATTTTTGGGATTACATAATTGTAATATGAAATATGTGACCAAATAAATTTTAATATTCTGCGTATAACGAGGTCACTGCACAGTAGTACCAGTACAGTACAGTGCAGATTAATAAGATGTAAGAAATTGAGAACTAAGCTACAATTAAATGAAGAAAATATAATGATAACTCGTCCAGGGGTGTCCGGCGATTCAAGTGACTAAAGTTCAACTAAATATTAAATATCCATTATAGATTGATAGATGGTTTACCTTTGAACCCCTGGTTCTCCTCCTGTATCTGTATCCTGGTTAGGAGAATATTCTGCTTCTCCTTCTCCTGCTCTAGCTCTAGCTCCAACCCGTCCTTCTCCCGGGATACAAGATACAGCTTCGCTCTGTTATAATAACAATAATAATAATAATAGTAATAATAATAATAATAATAATAATAATAATGATAACAATTTAATAATAATAACAATGATAATAATAATAATAATAATAATTATAATACCTGATATCTGCCCTCTCCTCCCTTATAGAGCATATCTCCTGTAGTAGAACAGCTACCTCTAGTTCCTCCTGAGTATGCTGAACACCTCCCTTGACGAGCTCCTGGTCCCTGGGCTCCAGCATACCGTGTACACTCTCTAGCTCTAGTACTGTAGCTTGTACACCAGCTCGTCCAACCTTAACAGACATAGATATATTACAGATATTACTGCAAACAAACAGAAGGAGAATGTCTAATTTATGCAACATTACTGGTGGGACTGTGTGACCTCGTAGCTCCACTAGTTTTGATTTTACGTATTTAATGAGAAAAAGCAAGTTTATTCGGTTACATATTAGAAATTAAAAACATCTTTGTTCTGCGTAACAACTCTTCATTAGAAGGAGTTATAATATTTTCACGTGATGGGAAATATTACCAGAATAACAATAAAATAATGGTTTTTAAAGGATTTGATTAGCTTTGCCACAAACTCAAATTTTCTAATCCTTATATCTTAGCAACTTGATGGTGCAAATCTTTGATATTTCAAACTTAGATTATTTTATCTTCCAGAATTCGTAGTTTGAAATATCTAAGGTCTACAGCATTGGGTTGCAAAGATATAGGGAATAGAAATTCTGAGTTTGTGGCAAAGACTCAAATCCTTTATACATTATTTTAAAACATTGAGAGAACTGTGAAACTTGAAATTAGATTAATAAGAATCTAATATTCTTGACCCAAATTCTTAAAATAAAAGAAGTTAAGAACTGACTAACAACTTATAAACCCCCCTCTCACCCCCCCCCCCCCTTCGAAGAAAGAAGATGGTCCCCTTCAAACAAATTTCCAATATGATATAAAGGAAACTCTGAAGAGCGCCCAATAAAAATATTTCTTTGTTTTCATAATCGATATAGTTCAGCAGAAGTGATAGAAAAATGGATAGATACATTATGAATAAGAAAATTAATGAATAAAAGCATGCTTGATGAAAAGAATAACAAATGTATGTTCGATGAAGATAAATGAAAAAATGTACGTTCGATTTTTAAAAAGAGGGTTCGGATACAATTACGTTAAGAATCCCTTAAAGGTGTACTATACATATGTATACCTTGAGCTGTGATATGTACTCTCTAATCCTATTTTCTTCCACCATATCCTGCTCCTGCTCCATACTACTACTGCTGGTTGAACAGGAACTAGTGGTTTGGCTGTACCCTGAGCTATCCCAAGTTGTGTCTAGCTGTGAAACAGCAAACCCTGAGTCAGGACGGGTTCTCTCTGCTCTGGATAGAAGATGTCTAGCCACTGTTTCCGCCTTTTTTCTATTACTCCGTCCTGGAGAACGCCCCTGGTCTGTAGTCTCCAGTAGAGCGACCAGCACGTCGTAACTCTCTATCATAGTGTCACAGTAGGACAAGGAGAGCTGTAGAGCAGTATTGTTACTCTCATATTTTCCGAGGAGCTCCGTCAAACCATCACAGGTGCTGCGAGACTCTGCCAGAGCTAGGTTCAAAACCTACAACAACAAGATTAAAAAATACATGAACAACAAGACTCAAAAATACAAGAACAACAAGAACAACAAAAGCAACAAGAACAGCAAGAACAACAAGAACAGCAAGAACAAAAGAAGAACAAGAACAACAAGAACAACAAGAACAACAAGAACAACAAGAACAAGAAGAACAACAAGATCAAGAAACACAACGAGGACAACAAGAACAACAAGAACAACAAGAACACCAAGAACAACAAGAACACCAAGAACAACCAGAACAACCAGAACAACCAGAACAACCAGAACAACAAGAACAACAAGAACAACCAGAACAACAAGAACAACAAGAACAACAAGAACAACAAGAACAACAAGAACAACAAGAACAACAAGAACATCAAGAACAACAAGAACAACAAGGACAACAAAAACAAAAATCGACAAAAATACTAAACAGCATTTCTTTTACAAAAAAATTACCTTATTTTGGCTTTTTAAATGTTCAACATGAGAGTTAATTTTCTCGATTTCAAATTCAAACTCGAGACATTTGGAGGCAAATTCTGCCTCTGGAAGGTGTGCAGGGAGGCCAGAGAGGATAGCTCGAGGTCCAGGAAGGCCGGGGAGCATGGATGAAGGTCCAGGTAGGTGGACGGAGAGGGCAGGATGAATTGGAGGTAGGGGGGAGGAGGTCGCTACCGGAGATATACAAGCTTCTCTTGATCCAACCTGGAAACAGAATTATTTATTCTTGATTTTTTAATTTGTTTTTTTCTTTTAAAAATGTGCCTTGAAATTTAATAGAAGAGTTGAAGCAAAAATAAGATTAATGTCTATTTCCTTTTCAAAATAAAAATGGTAACTTGGATTCATTAAAATACATTTGCATGGTCCTTGGCTTTGCTATTCTAGTCTTATCAATATTGCACAATCTGCACATTTTACAATAATTCACAAATCTAAGTTTTTACTAGAACGATTTTCCTACTGAGAGAACCAGAAAACTGAACGAATAGGAAGCTATTTGATGTTGTTACTAAGCAAAAGCAAAAAGTTGTATTAAAACTCATCAAACCACTAACTAAGTTAATGGGTCTGTTTACAATGCACAATTGCTGCGTCTCAAGTTCTTTGGACTGTTTAAAGTCATAATTTGAGTCTAAAAGTCGTCTTCATATTCCAGAATTGTCTTGTTCTCTCAAAATTGGTTAAGAAGTTACACTTACATTTTTAATTTCGTCCTCAGCTCTCTTTCGTACTTTGTCTTTGTTCTTCCGTCTTAAACTCCTTCTGTCCCAGTTCCTCTCCCCTTCCTTCGCCTCCTTCCCCTCCATCCTGGCCTCCTGGTACTCACAGGTGGCCATCAGGTCACCAACCTGCCTCCTGTAGGAGTCTCTCTCCTGAATCAGAAAACAATTTAAGACAAAATTAATATAAAGGAAAAAAAGAAAAAATTGGGCTACATACAAAAGGTAGCAAGGTGAAATAGAAAGCTGTAAAAAAAAAAACAAGAAAAGTAGCAGACTTGAAAAGACTGAATCAGACAAAATGAAAACACCTGTGATAGTTCGGCCGTTACTCAGCAATAAAAACTGATTTAATTTTCACCTAACAAAGCAACTATTTATCATGAAGATCTTGGAATATAATTTTCTTGAAAACACTCAACAATCTTAGGTTAAGTAACGCCCTTTAAAAAACCCTTTTTGTGGGGAGAAATAAGCAGGAAAGGGGGGGATGGCTAAGTGTGTAAAGGATATAGGGGTCTGGTCTGAAAAAAAGAAGACGGGCATTAGAAGCATTAGGGGTTTGGGGGAGTGAAGAAATGAAATAATGAATTAAGAATTACGTGCAAGTTTGTATTCCTATATGGAGAAGATTAATCAAAAAAGAATTGTGGACGGAGCAATTTAAAATTAGTTACGGGGAGTTTAGGAGTAGATTTAGGAGCCAGGGGGGATTTAAACAAGATTTAAAAGTCAGTGTAGGAGTTAAGTAGGACTCCATAGATATATATATATATATATTGTCTATATATACTTTGCTTGTCTCTTTGTTAAGTTTGTCTGTTTTTTTGGATCCAATAAACGTCAAAACGCCTGAACCGATCCAGCACAACTGACCCCATGAAGGTTTATGAATAATCAAAATTTCAAAAATTTGCCTCCAACAAAATTCGATTTCCAATAAATTTTCAAAATCCACGAAATTTTTTTATGAAATCCGCGAACTTTTTTTGTTTTTGTTTCACAATGTTATACAAAGAGAAAATGTTCAAAATTGAAAAAGAAGATGCGCCCGAAGCGCTCTAAAGGCTTAGTTTTTTATTTCTGTAATTTTCAAATAATCTAAAATAATACTGGTTTCGCATAAAGAACCGCGAGGCTAACACAGAGAACTTTTGAATCTTTTGTTTTTTTGAGTTTGACAAATAAAAGACGGGTTAAAGACTTAGACAGGGTTGGAGTAGATTGAATTTAACTCCACTGGTTTTGTAAAAAAAGTGTCATTTTAAAAAGGAATTGAGTCTTTGCCACAAACTCAAATTTTCTAATCCATGTATCTTTGCAACCAAATTTTGTAGACCTTTGATATTTCAAACTATGAATTTTGTCAGATCAATTAATATAAGTTTGAAATATCGAAGGTTTACATAATAAGGTGGCTAAGATATAGGGATTAGAAAATTTGAGCTTGCGGCAAAGACACAATTCCTTTACAAAGTTTTAAGAAATTTCAATTTCAAGAAAGGGTTGACAGATTCCAACGGCTTAAGCCAAACAGACTGAGGGCACTATAAAGGGATTAAAAGTATAAACATTTTAACCACTGAAATATAAAAAAAATCAACTCTGACCTGTTTGACGAGAAGCAGCTCCTGATCCTGTTTTCGAACCTTCTCCTCCAGTTCCAACCGCTCCTGCTCCAACTCAAGCCTCTCCTGCTCCAACATCTGGCGCTCCTGCTCCTGTTTTAACTTCTCCTGCTCCTTTATTTCCTGCTGTCGTCTCCTAAAAATCAGAAAAAAATGTTTCAGAAAAATCTTCAAACCTTTTACAGAAATTAAGGAAAGTGATAAATTATAGATAATTGAATGAATGAAAGGATGAAAGGATAGATGAATAAATGAAAGGATAGATAAATGAATGAAAGGATAGATAAATGAATGAATGAAAGGATGAAAGAATAGATGAATGAATGAAAGGATATATGAAGGGATGAAAGGATAGATGAATGAATGAAAGGATAGATAAATGACTGAATGAAAGAATAAAGGATGAAAGGATAGATGAATGAATGAAAGGATAGATAAATGAATGAATGAAAGAATGAAAGGATGAAAGGATAGATGAATGAATGAAAGGATAGATAAATGAATGAATGAAAGGAAGAAAGGATATATGAATAAATGAATGAATAAGTAAATGAAGGGATGAATGAAAGGATAATAGAATTAATGAAAGGATGAAAGGATGAAAGGGTAGATGAACGAATAGATGAATGAACAGATGAATAAATGAATGAATGAGGAACTTACAGAAACGTCTAATTTACACATTTTTAAATTCTTAAATCTATTCTTGACACAGTGAATATGCCATATAGCCTGAAGCCTATCTGGCTTGATAAGCTGAAGGACCCATGTAGTGTGCTGTATCGAGGGATAAGGAAGAATTCAGAAAATGGAAAATACGTTTGTCATCTTTACAAAAAGCTTTGTGACTATACAGAGGTCCACAAAATGATGATACTTTTAATTTTTATACCAAGAATAAGATTTAAAGTAAAACTTTTTTTAACAATGTTTTAAATAACTCGATTAAATTTTTATAATATTCCATAGTCCCTTTTCTGGTTCGTTTTTTTCAATAACCTAATTCACCGTACAAGAAAAAAATGTTAAATTGTCCCCCCCCCCATCNAGAATCCCCGTGTATTCACATGTCATACTGTAAACAAAACAGACATATAGATCAGGGGGCAGGGAGCAGGGTAAAGGTTATATAGACAGATAGATACAATATTATCCATATAGACCACCAGATAGATAAACAGATAGATACAAGATTATCCATATAAACCATCAGATAGATACACAGATAGATACAAGATCATCCATATAGACCACCAGATAAATAAACAGATAGATAAACAGATAGATAAACAGATAAATAAACAGATAGATAAGCAGATAGATAAACCAGATATATAAACAGATAGATCAACGAGATATTCAAACAGATGGATAAACAGATAGTTTAACAAATAGATAATCCATAGATAAACCAGAAAGATAAACAGGTAGATAAACAGATATATAAACAGATAGATAAACAGATAGATAAACAGATAGATAAACAGATAGATAAACAGATAGATAAACAGATAGATAAACAGAAAGATAAACAGATATATAAACAGAAAGATAAACAGATAGATAAACAGATAAATCAATTAAATAACTAATCAGATGGATAAACCAGATAGATAAACCATACAACCAGATAAAATTACAGATAGATAAACATTTAGACCTTCCAGACAGATAATCCAGATAGTTGAACAGAAAGATAGATAGATAGAAATAAAAACAAATTGATTCCACAAAAAAAAACTTCTTCTTCGCGCCGTGACTTCATAAATCATTTTTAATGTGTAAAAAATAGGTTTCAGCCCACGACCCTAGTAACTGCAGAGTATATATTGTATAGGGCTATCTAGGTCTGGATCCAATTTTGTTGTAGCTAAAACAAATAGTCAAATTATCTCCATAATTAGGCAAAGCACGCAATATTTTTTTATCTAAAGTCTCTATATTTATATTTTAATTAATTAAAACATAAATCAACCCCATCAAACCAGCTGTCTAGTTTACACGTTTAATTTCAGAAGTAGGAGGGGACGGGGGGGGGATTCTTCCAAGGGGGTTCAGAGCACTGTTTGGTTTCCTTACAACATTTTTAAGGCTTTGTAGTCTTACACAAACAAACAAACAAACAAACAAACAAACATAAAGAATCTGAGAAATAAAAATATTCTAAGATTTCAAGAGCAAAATCAAATCAAAGGCACACAATACTAAGATAATCGGCTTTGAATTACTTAAAGGCCTGAAGGTATAAAGCTAGAGATGTGTTTTAAAATTAAATTCTAAATAAATCTTTTAAATGGTATATGTCAGCTACCTCATAGGACAGGATAGGACAGGATATGAGAGGATAGGACAGGATAGGACAGAATAGGACAGAATAGGACAGAATAGGACAGGAAAGGACAGGATATGATTTTCTTCTCGTTGTCGTTGTTGCTTTTTAACTAAATTCTCCTTCTAAATGCACCCCTCCCCCCTATCCTCTGCATATTTATCCCCCCCTCTCATGTTTTAACATTCCAAGCCTCTGTCTTAAAACTACGGAAGAGCATTAAAGATAATAAAAATGTCACAAAGACATTTTGTATTTTTTGCAGCTAAAATTAACCCTATTAAATACACAGTGCATTAAGTCGGAAAGTTCGAAACACTATTCACTGACTCAAGATCAAGGAATACAAAAATTTTGAATATTCTTTTATCAATAATAAAATGGGAGAATTCTGCATAAATTTAGAAAAATATGAATGCCAATGAATGGTTGTGATCATTAAATCAATCATCTTTCAATCCACCAATATATGTATAATGCGGATACAAAGTATACGAAAATGTCAATGTTATATATCCGAATATATGTATAATGCGGATACAAAGTATACGAAAATGTCAATGTTATATATCCGAATATATTAGTACTAATCTTGAAAAAACAACCATTATTTGGACCAAACCCTCTATTTTATTTTGCGGTAAAAATGTCATGAAATTACGTCCGGCCCTTGGGTTAACCTAGTACACACTAATAAAAACACAGCACTGCATAATATGATAATTAAAACCTTTGAACCGTGATATTTCCGTGTTAATCAAACCCCTGCAAAACTATTGTCTCTGCTACCAGATACAAGAAGGTCAAAAAAAACATTTTTAGAACAATGATCAAGTCGTCTTTGGTCCACGCAGCGTTTGAGATTGAACCTAATCAGTCTTGGAACATCAGTAATCCAATTATTTTTTATGTAGACCTTAAAAAGTAAATGTAAAAGAATCTCTAAGGACTGTTTTTTAATTATTTATGACTATGTGCAAGAAAGTGTAAGAATTTTAACAAAATATATCCTTTCATTTTTTTAAAAGCTTTTTGGATGCAAACCTTGACATTAATGAACTTTTAAGATTCGAACACCATTTTAAAGTATGTTAAATATATAAATAGATAAATAGATAGATAGATAAATGGAAAGTAAAAAATGTGTTTTAACTTGTTTGAACAAAAGTGAGAGAAGATGTTAAGGTTTCATATTACAGAGTTTAGTTTAAAGAAAACATGACTAAAAATAAGTTGAAACAAGATCTAAAAACTTCATAAAAGATGTTGAAAGACACCGCTAAAAACTTATTATAATACAATAGTTACAACTCTTTTTAAACTGCCCTTGTCGAAAATGATAAAGAAGTCATTATTAACCTTTTAATACCAGTTACTGATTAAACTGAATATTAGATTTAATTTATCATAATTTGGAATAAGATTAAATTCTACATTTATAGTTTAATAAGATCTTGATTTATAGTGGCAAGATACACTTTAAAACATAGAAATTGCAGAAAGGGATTTAGAAAAAAGTGGCATGTCTGATTCAGAACAGTACCTTTAAAACCTCAAATCTGAGTATCAATGAGGAAGATATCGCTGTTCTCCTTTATTGTTTCTGAAGCAAGTCAGTTTTAAGGGAAACCCCAATTGAAAATAAACAATTTTCAGAAAAAAAAATATAATATTTTCCCACAAAAAGATCTAATGGTTACGTTGAGAATCGGACCTGGAACTCTGTAAGTTGAGGATTATTTGAAGTTGAGCGTACAGTCCCTTTAAGTGAATTTTTAACACTCTCATTAATAATCAGGATAATTGTATCATCTATATTTATTACTAATTAAGATATCTTAAGTCTCTGTATAGATTTTATATTTATTACTAATTAATATGTCTAAGCGAAAAGTATTAAGTATTAATGCTGTTTCAGCTTAAATTTTGCCAGGTGAAAGGGCCAGGGGGGTTTACGGGAGGGGGGAGGTTTAGAGCAGAAAGGAGGGGGAGGGGAGAAGGAGTTTAGGGTTAGGAGCAGGGGGAATTTCAGGGGTCAGAAATAACGAAGGGGAAACATTTAAGAAAGTTTTAATGAATATTGTAATTGAATCGTAAAATCTGGGTTAGTCTGCGGATACAAAGTATACGAAAATGTCAATGTTATATATCCGAATATATCCGAATATATCCGAATATATCGGAATAAAGACGAAAGTTATTTTTATTAAAAGTTTGAACCTGTATGATTTTGAATTGGTCTCGAGATCGCGCTCGAAAGCGAGGCTAGTATAATCCTCGAACTCGTCCTCTCTATCGTCCTCGTCCCTACCCTCGTCCACGAATGAGTCTGTGGTGAAGGATTGAGCGTCCTCACTCTCCTCGTGGATCACGTCCTCTGTCCTCTCATCCATCTTTCTAGATGATAAACTGGTTAAATAAATATATATTTACTAGCATGGAAACCCAGCTTTGTCTGGAGTTTAACCCATAAAGTCAACTCCTTAGCTTAGACTTTTTTTTAAAGTGTTCCCGTGGTGGTTTTACCGAGTTCCCCAATCACAAATATGGGTCAAATTGGTCCAGGGGTTTATGAGTTGTGATCGCACATACAAACAAGCAAACAGAGATTATATATATAGAATAGAGGGTGTCGAAGAACTTTCAAATGCAATATGAATTGTACTATGTAAATTGTATTGTGCGGTACAGTACACTATGAACTAGTATTTGCATAGCGTAAAATCTATCAATAATTGGCCAATTACGCCAGAAAAACTTGAGCTTAAAACAAGTGCTTTCCAGTGAGTGAGTAAGTAAGTAATTAAGTAAGTGAGTGAGTGAGTGCGTAGGTAAGTAGTAAGTGATTGAGTAAGTGATTGAGTAAGTGAATGAGTAAGTGAGTAAGTGAGTGAGTGAGTGAGTGAGTGAGTGAGTGAGTGAGCGAGTGAGTGAGTGAGTGAGTGAGTGAGCGAGTGAGTGACTGAGTGACTGAGTGACTGAGTGACTGAGTGAGTGTGTGAGTGAGAAAGTGAGAGATTGAGTGAGTGAGTGAGTGAGTGAGTGGGTGAGTGAGTGTGTGAGTGATTGAGTGTACCTGGATAGTTCTGCAATAACTGAATGTAGTTCAACAATCTTCTCCTCGTATTCCTCTCTTGAACTAAACTCCTGTACTCTGGTAAACTGGAATCCTCCACTCCGCACTACATCTAGAAACAAGCAATCAATCAATTCATTTCGTAGTCATGAATAATTAAGTCAGTCAAAATCAATTTATCTGTTAATTGACCTATTAATTAATCAATCAATTGATATATATCAACTGAACAACTGATTAGTTTATCAATCAATTAATCTAATTAATAAATCAAATCCTCCATTTTCCAAGCAAACTAGCAACTTATTAATAAATCAATAAAACTATAAATCCATCGATCATTTAAAAATGTTATCATTTAAATTCTAAAAAAACCTTGAATTTATAAAAAAAACTGTTTGTCTTAAAATAAAATTAATAAGATGTATGTGTCTTCAAACTTACAAGATTTTACCTAAAACTTAGAATTTTATGGCCACACTGTAAAGGAATAAGTGCAAAATTTGCATCGAATGAATGAAAGAATAAAAACCAAATTATATCATTTTTGCATAATTAACAGATTGCCTGACAAGTATATTAATTAGATAATTAATTAGATAATTAGGTAATTAATTGATTAATGGGAGAATTAATTAATCCCCAGGCTCAAAAAGAGACAAAGATTATTCTGTAAACTCAAATTATTTAAAATCAAAAATCATCGAAAGTCAACAATTACTTTAAATACAAAAAAATACAGAAAAATTGGTAAATTTTACAAGAACAAAATAAGAACCTCTCCCCTCCCCATTCCCGTCCTTTCAGCAATTGAATTAAATGTTGAAAAATGGTGGTAGAGTTGAGATGTATGGATTGAAACCGAGCAGATTGAGGATTTTATCGAGAGAAAATTGAAATTTTATTTAAATTTAGTGTTTGCTCGTAAAAGAACCCTCCAGCACTGTAAATGCAGAATATAAATTCTGGTTTTAAATTAGATTCATTAGGGAGGCTTTTATATTTATAATTTAATATATATTCAACATCCCCCCCCACCCATCAATATAATACTACTATGTTTATTTACATAAATAATACAAAAGAGTTTGCTAATCATAAAGACGATGCATTAGAAATTTATCTGACTATTGTGTACGCCTGTACAGCTGTAAAATGTGTACGCCTGTACAGCTGTATTGTATACGCCTGTACAGCTGTATTGTATACGCCTGTTCAGCTGTATTGTATACGCCTGTACAGCTGTAAATTGTGTACGCCTGTACAGCTGTAAATTGTGTACGTACAGCAGTATTGTATACGCCTGTACAGCTGTATTGTATACGCCTGTTAAGCTGTGTTGTATACGCCTGTACAGCTGTAAATTGTGTACGCCTGTACAGCTGTAAATTGTGTACGCCTGTACAGCTGTATTGTATACGCCTGTACAGCTGTATTATGTACGCCTGAACAGCTGTATTGTATACGCCTGTACAGCTGTTTTGTATACGCCTGTACAGCTGTATTGTGTACGCCTGTACAGCTGTATTTTCACGTCATTGGTTATTTGGTTGCTTGAGAGTCTAACGATCGACCATTAAAACCGAATTTCACACAATTGTAAATATTTTGTACTAAAAGTGAACTAAAATTAATGATATTATTTAATCATTTGATGGATATGAGGATCGCGCGCGCGTCTGGTGAAATAATTAGCAAAGTCATTTAACAATACTTTTGTACAAAACTGTACATTGTGCAACCTACAATACTGTCAAGATGTAATTTCTTGTGACCCAGGACCCATCATTTAAAAAGTGAAAAATCCGGCCCACAACGCTACCCTTTAAACCTTTATTTAATTAGGAAAAATTGTCTTTTTCCTTTCTTGAAAAATATTAAATTCTCACAATTCTTTCACTGTCTCAGCAATATACAGAAAAACTGCATAAATAATAAAAAAGCATCATCTTTAAAAAAATTATATCTCTCTAAAAACGTAGGGTTATTTGAATTTACATCTACAGTCCATTTGAGGCCAAACTTAAGTTTCAGTCTCATAAACCAGGTTTAATGTATAGAATGAACCGCATAGACCTAGTTTAACCACTTCTCCCGGACTTGAACCGGCGCATAAGTAGTAGTTTACTTTAGTCTACGCGGTAAAACTACTTCCAGATTTTTACCTTTACGTTTGAGGCTCTCGTAAGATGAATTCGAGGTTTCGTTGAATATAACAGAGTCGGGAAGAGCTGAGAAATATTTCTGGAATTGAAGCTGAGAGACACGACCTCTAAATTAGCAGTTCAATTAACCAATCAATTCATCAAACAGAAATCAATCAATCAATTAATTTATACAATTTCTTGAAGATCAAAGAGAAATCAATTAGTCAGTCCTTTTAAGAATGAAATATAGATAAAATCTTATCAAAATTATTCGTTATTTAAAGAAAAGAAAAGAAGAAAAATTTGAAAACGAACCTATGATCATTCGGGATAATGGCGTCCGCCGTAAACCCCAAATCCAGTTCGCGGCAAACGCTCTCCAGATCCCGCCTGCAAATAAAACCGGTTTAGTAGTGTACCACAACATATTGTACAGTATGGATTAAATGGGCTTTTTAATACTTTCTTTAACCCATTTGCCTAAAAATACTCTTAACGGGCCTAAACGAGAAAAAAAATCAGAATTTCAAAAAATTACAATAATACAAACTCAATAAAGAAATAACCCTGATGTAATAGGAAAGAAAAAGAATGAATTCCAAAATGATGATAAATGAAAAGGCATTATACAATAAAAAGGTTAAGATAAGGATAATAAAATACTTTTATTTACTAAAATGCAGAAACAATGCATCATAATTCATTCATGGATTTAAAATAAAAATAATCATAAAATTATCAAATCTAAGAAAAATAAATTGTAAACTATAATGAAATAAAACCAAATATATAAAGTTTTGATATAAATGGTCATTTCAAACTTGAC